GTGTGTGTGTGTGTGTGTGTGTGTGTGTGTGTGTGTGTGAGTGTGTGAGTGCAAGTGTGTGCGAGTGTGTGCGTGAGTGTGTGAGTGTGTGTGTGAGTGTGTGTGTGTGTGCTGGGGTGTGTAAGTGTGTGTGTGTGTGTGTGTGTGTGAGTGCAAGTGTGTGCGAGTGTGTGCGTGAGTGTGTGAGTGTGTGTGTGAGTGTGTGTGTGTGTGCTGGGGTGTGTAAGTGTGTGTGTGTGTGTGTGTGTGTGAGTGCAAGTGTGTGCGAGTGTGTGCGTGAGTGTGTGAGTGTGTGTGTGAGTGTGTGTGTGTGTGTGTGTGTGTGCTGTTAAAGCCTCTTCAGATTCTCCTGCGGGGAGTTTGGCACGTCATGCACTGGACCTGAAAACAGCTGGAATCACATCTGAAGGCCTGTTCACACCAAACGTGACGCCACAACGACACCGAAACTTGAATTTTAAGAGGCATTTGGAACGTAAACAACACAAATCACGTTTTAAAATTTTTTGGGGGAAAAAACACAGGGACTTAATGTGAGTGATGTTACCGTTAACTAAAACTAAAAACTATTAAAAGTTGTTTTCACAAATTTAAATTAAATAAAAATAAATAAATAAAAAATAAAATAAACATTACATTAACAAAGTAAACTTAAAAAAACAAAATCAGAAATCGTTCCTTGGTAACTAAAGTTTAAGTACTAAAATTTCTAAAACTAAAACCTCAAATAAAAATAAAGCTAAAATACAATAAAAATATGCACATATTTGATGAACAAATTAAGCTTAAATTTAAAATTAAAATAAAAAATGGTTTCATGAGCAGCTAACTGAAATAAATTACTAAAATCTGAAGTACTAAAATTACTAAAACTAAATCTGAAATAAAAATAAATTAAACAGAATTTTTTTTTTTTAAATTACACTAAATTGAAACTAAAACTAAAAACAGCTAAATTAAATATTATCATATAAAATAAATACTTATTACTATAGTATTCAATATGCTATTTTTAAATACTAGAATAGTATATTAACAATACTAAAATAATAAATACAAATATTTAAAAAACTACTAAAAATTACTACTAAATTAAAACGAAAATTCTAAAAACAAAAGCTAATTAAATACTTTTATAGTATATAACAACTTATTACTCTTATAGTATTTAATATACTATTCTTAAATACTAAAATAGTATATAAACAATACTAAAAATAATGGAAAAAAAAAATATCCAAACTAAAATTAGGTTACATTTTCTATATGCAAAACATAATGTGTTATTTTGTGCTGTTGATTTTGGCATGACAGGCCTTGTGAATGAATACCGATTCAACCTATAAATAAATAAATCATGAGTTAATCATACTGCAGCAGCTCTGGATTTGACCCATAAACGCATTCAGCTAATCAGTCGTTATAATGTAGCCATGATGTAAACCAATGGAGTTGCAGTGATTGAGTCATGTGACATACGCAGCTCTCGAGGCCCCGCCCCTTCTCTCATGGCGTCGTGCTGGCGTGACAGCAGCTCGCGCTCGTCCTGTATCTGCTGGCGCTCCTGCTCGAGTTCACGCAGACGGCTAGCGGTCGCCGTCAGCTCCTGCTCCAGATGCATCTGCAGCTCGGCGTGCTCGCGGACCTGCTGCTCCAGAGCCAGACGCTCGCCGGTGTAGCCGTCAATCAAACCTGCGGCACAAACACACGCCTCCGTTAACCACCACATCATAACTGCTCCATCACACGTCCAGATGAAGCTGAACAGCTCTGGGTGAACAAGTAAAATATTATTATTATTAGGGTTGTCAAAAGTACCAAAATTAAAAAAATGTGACGTTTCCGGCATTTCCCACTTGCATTAAATACACTAACAATTCAGCACTTTTGACAACCCTATTTATTATTATTATTATTAAATAATACAGGTTTAAAACAACATACAAATAAATACAATTATTATAAATAAATTACTAATAAATAAAAAAAATTTATTGGTAATATTACTACTAATAATAAATAATAATGTTTGGTAAAACATGATTTTGGGGTGAACAAATAAAATTAAAAACATTATTAATATTAAATAATATATGTTTGAAACAAAATGAGGGCGAGTAAATAATTTTTAGGTGGACAAATAAAATAAAACAAAACAAAAGATTATTATATTGTTTATTATTACATCTAATTATTAAAAATTGTACTAATTTAAGCAAATTAATCATTATTATTTAAATAAATATTATTTAAACACATTATTATTAAATAACATGTTTGAAGTAAATTATTTTTGGATGAAAAAAAACAAAAAACATTATTATATTGTTTATTATCATATATTGTAAATATTATATTATATATATATTATATTGACATTATTAAATATATAAATGTATAAAACATCATTACTATTATTAATAATAATAATAATAATAAATAATGTGTGGTACAACATGATTTTGAGGTGAACAAATAAAATTAAAAACATAATTACTGCTATTATTAATATATGTTTGAAACAAAATGAGGGTGAGTAAATTATTTTTGGGTGGACAAATAAAATAAAACAAATAAAAGATTATTATTATTATTTATTATTACATATTATAATTATTAAATATTGTACTAATTAAAGCAAATTAATAATTATTATTATTAAATGACATGTTTGAAACAAAATGAGGTTTAATTTTTATTATATTGTTTATTATTACATATTGTAATTATTTTATATTGATATTATTAA